GCTCCCTTTTCAGAGGTGAGTGCCACAGTCACAGCATTATGTCTTGGTGTCACTCAAACTTTGCAGAACTCCTCATGAAACCACCTAGAAGTTTCTTTGGTTTTGGCCTGGGAGGAGGAGAAGGCACTTCCCCTCGTTCCTCCTACTCCTGAACAGAAAGAGGTGGGGCATGAAAGAGTCTCCAGACAGGGAGGTCTTTCTCATTCAGACCAAACTTTTTGAGAACATGCAGTAAACTGCATAAAGTTTATTAAAAATGAATCTGACAGAAGGTAAGTATTTTCCCAAAAGAATGGGTTCGGGGGGCATGGGGGGGAAGAGAAACCACCTCCATTTGAAAGCAGAACAACCAAACATTTTCAGTCGGTGGTACCGCCAAGACCTCTGGTTTCTGGTAACGCGGGAGCGGAGCAGCAGGAGAAGGAATGAGGGACAGTGATGCCTCTCAGGGCCTGCGGCAGAGCTGGCCCCAGGCAGGCACGGGCAGCTTTCCAGAGAGGCTCGCGGCCGCAGAGGAATCAATGACCCAACTCTTACAAGAGCAGGTAGCTCCACATCACAGCCCACAACCCCCGGCAGCCTGCGGGGGAGCCCAACACGCACCGGCACGAGCCGCTGTCCTGCGTGTCCGTGCAGTGGGGAGGGCAGGAATTTCCAGCGGCTCTCCCGGGGGTCCTGCGCCAGGGAAAGGTTAAGGTATGTGGTCTTGGATGCCCAAAGTGTTTTCACCAAAGCTAACAGACCAGTTTCTCCATCCCCTAGGGGTCTGGCTGAAAATGGTTATGTAGGATGCTATCAACCCATACGCAACAGAAACAAAAGGGCACCTAAGTTGTGCACATCTTTGCCACAACCCGTTTGCCCCAGGGCTTCGCGTGCGGTTAGTAAGAGCGTACATTAGCCTTGTCACCCAAGCGCGACTCTCCGAGATCCTCGCTGCAGCTGCCGTCGCCCCAGGCGCAGAGGGCACCGACGGCACGACACCGCTCCGCGTTTCCCCGCCACTGACGGTGCAGAGTTCACTGCTTCCGTTTGCAAAAACGCTGCTGTCAGCAACATGCTTTTTGGTAAAGGTGCCCGACCTACAACTATACACATAAGAACTTAAAAAACACCCAAGAGAGGGAAAATGCCTATTCCAGGCAGCTTTAAAAACAGTGTCCTTGCATTACTCAGCCTCGTAATGGACCATCCTTTCTTGAGTTTGTAATCCAGAAGCTGAATTTGGTTTTATACTTTCCAGATGCAGGTCACAGATGAGATTCCCATCAGCATGCCCACCTTGCTATACAGAAGCTCCTGACTCCAATGAACCTGGTAAGGTTAAAATGGGCTCTCCTGAGCCACTACTCCTGCTGTAGGCTCTAGCCCTCCTCCAGGCCACAGAGGTGCAAACCCAATGAGCTGGGACAGGCAAATAGTAGCAATGCATATGCGTATGTCTAAAATGCTCTTTGAAAAAAACAATTCAAAGACACAAAAGGGCAAAAATGAGCTTCTCTGACATTTCTTTTGTTTTAACTTTCAAACTTTGCCAATCCCTCTCACGCTGCAGGGAGGAAAGGCTCCCAAACGAGCTCTTCCACCAAGCAGACTCACTTTGACTTCTGAACACGTCCTGAAACGCTACAGAAGCGAAAGCTGTACCAGCCAGTTCGTGAAGGCACAGGATTTTGCCCGGGAGAGTCAGAACTTTCTAGAGCAAGAGGAAGCAAAGGCAAATTAAAAATAGAGGCAAAAATGCATGGTATGCACCCAAGGGTCTGCTCCTGTGGCAAATTCAAGTGATAACGTTAATGGAATTTTACACTGGACTAGGAAGTGGCCTGCTGTTGAAAAATAAATGCCAAGACCTCTAACACAAACAAACGTCTACGTGAAACTGTGGGTATTTATTTTGAGAATGGCAGCCCTGCATCTGATCAGAGCGTTTCACTCTATTTACATGGTGACTATCATGCTAAATAATCCAGTTAAAAATACACAGAAGTAATTGGGTAGACCTACAGTGGAGTGAAAGAGATCGGGTCTGAAAAACACGGGGCAGGAACCAACAGGAGATTAAAACACACAGCATAATATTCAAACGGCTGTGTTTAATGTCCATTCATGGTAACCCCTTTTACACTGGCACTGTTGTTTCTGCTTTGTCTATCAGCCTTGTCCTTCCATCAAAAGTCCTGTAGCCATCCGCAAGTCATTTGCTGTTCAACAGTGGCTTCAGTAGAGTTTGGAAGCCAGGCAACCTCAGTGGCAACAGATAACACACGAAAAACTACTCCATTTTTGTTACTGGGAATTACCCAATACTTAAGTGTATTCTTCCACATTAGGAATAATCTTTTGTGGTTTTTTGCCTGTATTATCCAACATGTATGAAACTGAAAATTCTTAATAAACCTTTCTCCTTCAGATCTCACACTTCCAGAATTCTACTAATGCCTGTAGCTCATAATGAAGACACTGAAGGGTCCTTTAAGCTACTGATTTATTGACAGCCTCTTTAAAATAATGTCCTCAGGAGAGGCAAATGCCTGACAGAACATCAGCCCTCAAAGCCTCTGCCTAGTTCACTAAGATTTTTTTTTTTTTTTAACCATAGTCAGAAAATCTAGCGATGGCTTGCCTTGCTTTGTCTCAAATTCTGCCAGGTACAGCCAGTTCCTATTAAGTAATATTTTAATTAGAAACATGTAAGTGAAATAGCCTTGTCCAGAATGATTTAAGTTACTCATGGGAAATGAAAAGCAAATTGGTTCCCTAATTACTAATATGTGGATCTTGCTACACTCTCTGCGGCTATATGTTACATATAATTTTTATATCTCCTCTGGTCTCCACATGTATACCTGCTATGAGCAGAGAAAGGATGGTCATGTACTGTTTTCAAGGAAATAATGTAGCATGTACAAGCATTTCAGACAGACAGCTTCTCAATGGACACACAAAGTAGTCAAGCAGGTACTATCACTATCAAAAGTCTGTGTGGACTTTGCAGGCTTCAACACGTGTAGTCATCTTAGCTTTGGAAAATCATGACCTAATAAAACTTCCTGTGCCAAATAAGAGCCTTTTGTAGGTTTAGTAATGAGTATCTTTCTCCTTAAATGCTATGAAGCAAGAAAAAACAAGATACTTGCAAAGAAACTTATATATGAAAACTCCCCATATTTGATATCCACATTCAAATAACTCGTCAATACATAAAACCAAAACATCCTCCCCCCCAAATAAACACAGCTAACTTCTAATGAAGTTACCCGAAAAAAAACCACTCTTCAGTGGATCTATTCTGTGGCATCATAAATTATACACGTGTGGGAGAAATAGAAAGGATGGAGAGCAGATTATATGAGACATATCCTGTTTTGGACTCAGAATTGTGATAAGGAATCCTCAAAACACCGCATGCAACATGACTGCACGGATAACTAGGCATATGAGCCTTTCCTTACTCACACTCCTCAGAATTTGGATAACAATGTGACTACATGGAAGTTCTAATTCCCCAAACTTGCTTTGCTTTTGTTTTCTCCTCTGCCTACATGCTTTACCAGTAAGACGAAACAGTAAAACATATGGATAAAATGTATATTTTAACATAATTCTGTCGAACAAGATTTTGATCTGAGGAGGGATTTACATACTGAGAAAACCTATTGTGTTGGGGGTCACACAGTTAAGAAGTTTGCATGCGTTTGGAATTATTGTTTTGTAACTGCATAATAAGAAAACAGAAAAAAAAAAATATATATATATATATATGTATGTCATAGGACAGAGACACCACATCCTTCCAGCCCACTGCTCTTTTGTCTCACAGCTCTGTTAAACAGTCAGCTGCTGCCAGATGCTCTGGCTAGGAATGGTCACAGATGGTCAGTTGTCCAGTTAACAGAGCCGAATGCTTCCCTCAAATCTCCCCTAAAATAGCATCTGAACTATATGCAGCAGATGAGAATATCTGAGCATGGTCAAGAGGCCATTTGACCCAGTTAAGACTGCAGGTCAGTTTTAATAATTTAGTCAAGATTAGATCTCCACGCTGCCCCTAAGTAAACTATTTTGACACATTTCAAACACTCAGTGTCAAGTTCTATACTATTTTTGCTGATTACATTACAGATCACAAATTTTTATGAAAAAAAAAATCTCAGTTACATATGCAAACAGAAGCACCTTGTACCTAGGGGTGATACTGACATATCTGAACTGCCATAGATTGCAAGAGCTGCAGGAGGAATCAGAGTCCGACGATCAATGGAAAGACCCCGACGGGATTCAGCAAGCTCTATGCCCTAATCTTTGTGCTCTATCCTGCAAATATTTGCCAGTACTCCTTAAAATATTAATGGGATAATAACATGCACAGGGGCTACTAGCTTCTACCCCATGCATGTCACCATCCCATTAATATTTTAAAACACGGTTCTAAATCATAAACTTATTCACTCTAAGAGACTATAAAATAGAGTGATCAATTTTTCAATAGAGTGATCAATCAATATTTTAAGGTATTTACAGTTTATTTTTACCTTAGTATCCCAGTACTGTAGCTATGACAAAAGGCATGACTACAAGTAACCAGGAAAACCCTTTGGTATTTTGCAATTATTTGTCACTGTTATTAGACCAGGCACAAATACATAAAAGCTGAAAAAAACTGAGCATTAAATTGATAGTAAAAATGAGAGAGACTTGTGTCCTTTACTAGCAGTATTTACTACTTATTAGTTCTAGGTCTTGTGATAGTTAATTGGGGATCCTTCTTCCAATTTATACGAAATTTGCAAGATCTGGTCATTTAAGCGTTGTGCAACATCTCTACGGCTAGCATTATTCCATTGACCACACAGCTCATACTTGCATAGTTTACTGCTAGTAAAATAGTCAAACTTAACATTTTCGCCTTATAGGTCTCAAGTAAGATTTAAGTTTCTTAAGATATCCTTCGACTTTATTTTCTTCTAGAACAGTTAAAAAATATGTTATACACTCACCTAAACCACTGACAGTATATTCAAGGTCACTGGCATCCAACAGAATTGGTCCATTCTCCTGCTGACCTTCCTCCTTGTAATATAACTTGTACCCTTGAATGGTTGCAGTGTCCTCAGAGTCCTGCTGCCACTGTACTGTTATGGTTGTACAGTTCATTGGCTCCAAACGCAGCTCAGGAGACTTTGGTGCTGTTTGAGCGAAATATACATAATATTTTTATATTCTAGAAACAAATAACTTCCACGTTCCATCTGGATTTCCATCACTCTAAAGCTCACTCAAGGTTTTGATTCCAGCTCATCTGTCTACTCGCGTTATTATTTCTTTTTCTTGCTTATCTAGCTAATCCAAAAGCTTAATCTAGGATAAGTCAGAAAGGAACCATTTTGGAGTTTTTTGAACAGAGAATTGAATTTGTAAGGAAAATGAAAACAATCAAAAGATGATTATAAAATTAACTCCTGCTTTAAATTAAGCCAGAGCAAGTATGATTACTAATAACATCCCCCTTTCTTAAGTGCCAATAATTCACTACAGAAGTCAGAGTTCAATGAAATCCAAACTGGGTGGATGTGGACTAAAACTAAGAAGCAAAGTTACAAACTCAAATCTACATCTGTAAGGCACTCACCCGAAGTTGAATGACATTACTACATAATACTCATCATATAAGCCAAGTCAATTATAACAGCTTAAATCAGACTTCAAGTATAAAGTCAAAAAACACGTGCATTTTGCTTGTAATGTACAGATACATGCATTAGCTCAGCTCCTTTAAGTAAATGCACACACAAGGCAACATGTGTAATGTCCCTATTTACAGAAGTGGGTTTTACATTGAACAGCAATGCATTTTTTAGTTAAAGTTGAAAAGCTTTACCTAAGAAAAGACTGCACTGTCATTGGAAATGAGGATAAAACCTTACAAACAAGATTTAAAGATTCCTACCACCATGTCAAATATGCAAACATGAACATGGGGAAAGAACCAAAGACAATCAAAATAATACATCCACTTTTCTTCTACTGCCACATGTAAGGCCTTACACAGGACAGATGAGGTCCTCTTTAATTTGTGATCCTGAAACTATGTATTAACTGCATTTAATTTATTACAGCAACCACAAGTTTGTGCAGATTATATACCGAATGATGGTTAGAACACTATTTTCTAGATCACCAAAGCGAGTACATGTAACAGGAAAATCTATTTCAAATTCTTGCACTACCTGTCAGAAAAAAATTGGAGCCTTCAGCTAAAGCCTGCAATTGACCCCATCCCCAGGCTGCCAGTAACATAAGAATTACCTTTCACACTTGTAGCTTTAGGAGTCCGGTGGGAAGTCCACAGAGACGCCTCTCCCCAGCCAATTCTCGTTGCGGCGGTGATACGAACCAAGTAAACGCTGTCAGGCCTCAGGCCTTCGAGGAGATACTCATCTGAAGTCCCAGGAAGCTCCAAGACTTGGATTTTGCTCTCGGTGCTGAGACGGAAAGACAGACGGTACAGGACCACCTGGCCTCGCCTATACTTCGCTGGGATTGGCAGCCAAGAGACGAGAATATCCGTAGGACTCCGGCTTGTCAAACTAATTTCAGGAGCTCTCAAAGGAACTAAAAAGGACAAAGTTTTTGAGCTTAGGGAAAAGAGGGATCTAAAATTTTCATCTGATACCTTAACCTATGCTGAGGTACCAGTAATATGCGAGCATTGCCCAAGAAGGTTTGTAGACTCTCGTTTATTTTGGGGATAACGTGACATGGCTCATACTTCTTACCTTCTGCATACAATACAGATTTAGCAAACTCCTTCTTGAAAGACCCTCAACACCATCCTTTCTAACCACTGCCAGCAGTAACTGAGGGCAAACAGCACCTTACTGATCCGATCAACTGATTCTCAAAGTTAATATGCCATAGCTTAAATCGGGAGGCTGGACAACAACCTGTAGCGCTGAAGAGTCACTGCACGTTTCCTTCTGCCAACTGCGTTACAAGGGTAGCAGCAGCTCCTGGCAAAGAGACGGGCAGACAGCTGGAACTGGTATCGTTTCAGCCTGCCAAAGCTTAGCCCTGACACAACTTGTTAATCAGCTCTAACAAACTGTGCCGAACAGTTTGTTGTTGCTGCTGTGTTCAGGTTAGCCAGATTGCTGCCCAGAAATTGGTTAATATAGTCTTTCTGAAATTCTGATTTCAGTAATTAGTACATACAGACCCAAAAAATAAAATACTTTTAACACTCTGGTATGTCAAATTGCTATGCCAAATTTTCCTTCAAAAGCTGAAGGAAATGCAGTGGGCGTGCAGTTTGATTCACGTTTCAGATGCCCACATCATCACATACATCTGTGCACAAGCAATGAAGCTTTCTGCTGGCAGGGCGAAAAAGATTTTAATTTGCCTACTATTAAACATTCATAGAGGCAAAATCCTAGACTATGACCAAATTCTTGAAGATACAGGGCAGTTATTTAAGTGGTTTAGTGAAATATTCTTTCAACGTAAAAAAGACACTTGATGTAATATACAACCAGAATGTCACTTGATTCTCATTCCTTTCACTAGCCGGCTCGTCTTCCACCGCGTGCATCCAGAAGTCTCACCGATGTCAGTGGAATTTGGGATCCTCAAAAGCTCTCAGCACTGGATTGCACATCTCAGTGCAAATAAAAATGCTCATTTTAGTCAATGGTATTTATTTGTCTTACCGTCTTCAAGCGTGTGCTGAGTCACATGATCTGACATCTGACTGGCTCCCAGAGGCATATAAGCTACAATATAGAAGGTATAGTTGCTGGCTGGTTCCAAGTCATCAATAATGTAATGGGTTGTATCATTTCCAATGACCACTTGGTACTCTTCATTGTTTAAACCTGGCATAAAACAAAGGTTAAACAAAAAAAGATTGCTGACAATTTCTAAACATCAGAGTATCCTGTCTCTGAGATCTTATAAAGTTAATTCATGTTCTTCCCCAGCCTACCTCTACTTTGTCAGCCCTACAAAGTAGAAGCTCTTTTATGCACAGGAGTAACTGTGTCTTGCTGTGGTGTAGATTATGGTGTTTCAGGATTTTCCTGAATAAGGGATGCTGAATGCAGTTCTAAAACCCTTTTTAGAATTAGTCACAACAAACTGTGCCCAATGTACAGTAACACAACAGGCAAGCTCTAATAGCCTTATCATTCACAGCAAGCCTTTAAATCTATTTGTTTAGAGTCCGGGCTTTTTTTGAAAACCTATTTACAGAGCCTTCCTATAGCAGACCGGGAGGAATGCGAGGGCTCCACTCTATCAAAAACAAAAAACAAACAAAACAAACAGAAAGAAAAAGAAGTTGTTCAGCAAAAGGATCTCATTTTAGCCTGCAAATTCTATTACGTTTGATTGACATGGTTTTTTTCTTTAATTCAGAGAGAGGGCAATAGGAACAGCCCAGAATGAGCTTCAAAAATGTTTTGCTCCTTAATGAGTTGTTAAAAGAAAAAAAAATTCTCAGCAATTCACATTAAGATATGCATAGCAATGTATGCAGCAGTCCTTGTCTTTGTTGGGCTTTATCCCTATAGAGGAAGGCTATAAAGTGGAATAAGTGTGGTGAAAGCTGCAGTGTTAAGGAACAATTCACACCAAACGCATGTCAACTTAATCAAAACTCTGTAAGAGGCAGCTCCTCCTCTTCACAACTGAATTTATAAACAAAACGAAAGGCAAATTCCACCATTAAGTTTTCCCACATTTATGAATTAACTTGATAGCATTTTAATTAGACAAGATTACGAGCATCTCACAACAGACTAGTTAATGGCTTGTTAATTAGGAATTGCAAGGCACGATTTCTGACCTGCTAAACAAGATCCTTGAGCTCAAATTAAAAGGACTTGTTCTCTCATTGAAAGGATTGCTAGGCCTCATGCAGAGGCCCTAATGAAACAGCCATAATAGAGAACAAGGCTGGCCTTCCACCACAATCAGCGTCCCCTTTGTGCCTCCCCTAAATCACTAACAAGGAATTAACACACTCCAACATGTACGTTCATCAGACCCTTATTCTTCTTGCTACCATGACCCTGATTCGCATGTAAAATATTCTGCTTAAAGGAAAAAAAAAGCAAAAAAAAACAAAAAACCACCTGTTATTTTCTTCAACCAACTTTATTAAAACACTAACTTTTTATATAGGGATGAGGGCCTGAACCTGTTTTTACAGTGAAGCATCTGAATACTTGAGTTGTGAAAATAAGTGAGGACTGATGGTGTCTTTTGTATTCAAAGCACCTACTACATGTGAGCTCAGAGAAAAAAAATCTCTGAAACTGCATAGGATTAACGCATGACTCAAACTTCCTTTCTGTTTAAAGATTATGGAATCACAGGCATCAGTGTAATTCAGGAGGCTTAGCAAGACTGGTTTAGTTCTTCTTTTTACAGTAAAATGTTGCTTACTCACTTATACTGACAAATGAGGTTTCTATATAAAACGAGAGTAATCTATCAATATAAAAAGTATAAGGAAAAAGGTTACATGTACTTCAAATCTTAAGCAAGTAAAATATAGTTCAGCCAAATACGTCCGAGATCCTTTGTGATACCAAGATATAAATTAATATTCATTAGAGACTGAAATAAATGGTGAGGGTAGACTAGGGAAAGGTAGGCTGATGGGAATAACGTCAGCAATAAACATTCACGTAGACTATTTACATGAATACATAATTATCCAGCATTCTTCCAGAGTAAATAAGGTGTGGACGATGTCTGCCGTCTGTGCCAGCACCAGGTGATACTGTAAATGTCATCTTATTAAGGAAAACCTTTTGACTCAATATTTTATTTGAATTTCTTTAAATACAGCTGGTTCTGTATTTAACATTACAGAACTGACTGATATGACACTGCCAAACAAAGGCATGCTTTCGAGCTTTTCAACAACGCCTCTGACATGTGGCTAACACCCTCAGAAAGGTTCACACACTACCACTTAGAAAACAATTATTTTTGCAGGAGATGCAGTCCACTAGTCCTGGAAGCCTGACATTTTTTCAGTAATATGAAACAAGACAAATGTGTTTTTATGTCTGGATGCAGATCTTCTGGTGCTACCCAATCATGTTATCCAAGTAAAAACGCACAAAAACGCTACATTTTGATTTCCAGCACTGTCATTACTCCACATAACATTAGCCCTCCCCACTCCCCCAGCGTGGAGTTCTTTACTGATGTGAAAGGATGCACAGCAGCCTCACGTAAAATAAACGTAAATATTGCAAGACAGTCTGGAAAGATGAAAAAATGGGTGTTTGAGACAGCAAGCTCAAAAAACTCAGGGCTTGGGTTGCTCCAAGACAAGCTACAATCTCATTGCATGAGATAAAACCTTTAGATAAGCAAGGAAGTGAAGCAGAGGCTGAGTAATAATTTTGCAGAATATAAATTTTCAGAAGATACCTCCTTTTCCCTACTGTGCAGGCATATTTCCTTCCCTGAGGACATTTTCCCGGTTTCCTTTGAAGTTACCCTGGCTCTGCTCACTACACTGGCACCGGACATACAATTACCCAGATAGCTTATCTAGCGTGACTTTATTCATATTAGCTTTGAGTGGGGGCTGTGAGCACAATACCTCAGTGACTGAAAGCGTAGGGGGTAATTTCCCGCACCTCTTGTCCTCATTATCTTTTAAAACTCTTTCCTTCCTTCCCTCAAACAAAATTCTCTTGTGTCCTGAAAAATCCCACTTGCAGAAGCAAAGGCAGCTATTCCTGCATCAGTATTAGAGTAATTAAGCTGTCCTTCCTGTCCTCTGCTTAGCAGATGGCAGGCTGGTATGCCACGCTGAGAGCGGAGCATCTGCAGCCCTGTCCTTGAATAAACTAGTTACTGAATAGAGATGGAAAAAGTAATCACCTCTCCTAGAAAACAGAGCTGCGGCTCAGAGGAGATGTGTCTCAGCTTAGTTTAAACCACGCGCCTAACAAATTTCAAAGTCATTTCACAGTCACTGCCTTTGCTTATGAAATCTACCAGCTTTCTATCACCTTAAAGATTTCCTTAACTTAAAGATATGACATTATATTCAAAGTGATTTTAAAAAGTTTAATTACTCATTTTTATCCTAATTAACTATTTCCTTTTATATAGGAAAATATATAACATTTCAGAGACTGGGACAAAGTGTTCACGGCTATTTCAGCATATTTTAAAATCTGAGCATATTCTTTTGATTATAGGAGTGAAAAGGGTAAAAAAGCAGAGCAAAATTATCTCATTCAGGTAATAGTCTAAGAGAAGAGGGTTAAGCCAATGAGGTATCAACTGTTCTGCTCTCAAATACAGGAAAAGTCACAAGAATTCAAGGATCTAGACAAAAAAGCTGAATCTAGTGAAGAGTCCAACTCTGAAGCATCGAGACTCTGCTGCGCGCTCTGTCCTTCCCTGCCAAGCACGCACAGGGAAGAGAGAGCAGGCAGACGCCCCTGCTGAGGGCAGAGAGGGGGAAACCCGGGCAGGAACATGGGGGTCCCAGGTTTTAGAGCCCATTCCCCGCTCCAAAATCTGCTCACTAGAGAGATCAGACAAGGGTGCGGTGGAAGAACACTCAGCCCCACAGATGACATGATTCGGCAAAAGCATATTTCCCCAGGCGGGTTTACTGGATACCGCATGGATTTTTATGTAGGTATGGCCTGATGCAGCCCTGGCCATTCAAATTTGGCAGGCTTTGCAAGGACATGCAAGTTCTTATCACGAACAAGGAAAAAGTATACAGACACACTTTAAATCAAGCACTGCTTACCTTCTGCTTTCATGTAATGGACAGAGTATGCAATTACTTTGTCCGAATTATACAGTGGCCTCTCCCACGCTAACAGGATCGCTGAACTTGACATCGTTTCAGCATGGACATTATAGGGTGCACTGGGTCTGTCTTCTGACATAACTACGGTAAGCCTGGCCCTGGACAGAATAGACCCCTGGCTATTCTCAGCCACGCACTGATAAATGGCATCATCTTCAGGAATGATCTGGTTAATCACCAATTTACTGAATCCAAAAGGAAGAAAGAGGGAGGGGGGGGAAAAAAAAAAAAGGTCAAGTCTTGGATAAACTTAACCCAGCATAACACAACCACAATTATGTTTTCGTCTCTGCTTCATGAGCTTATTCTAAATGACGTACATTCTACTTATTTTTCTTTTCAATTAAAAATGGATGTGCAGCTGTGAAATTTAGCAACCTGAAGCGTTCTTCAGAACCTGCCGTGTCGGCATTCATGTCTACGCCTGCAAAGCCAGGCACAGGGAAAACAAACCTATACATTTACTTCCCCCTTGCAAAAAACACAACCTCAGTGTTGTCATTTCATACCTAACTCTTTATCCTGAGCTGCTCACTCCACAGAAGTAGTGAAGCGGAGGCTCAAAAAAACTCGTTAGATTCTAGTCTCTGCCACACTACTGTAAACCGACAGTAACTTCTCAGAAAGCGGTGAAATCACTTCAGTTTCCCCCCCAGGTATGGCAAAGATCACAAAAGGTTCTCTCTGAGGATTTTAAGTATTGACTAATCTGCATTCCTTCTCTCTGGGAAAGGTCCATAAGGCTACATTTCATGCCCAATTTTACTTATGATTACTTGAGTTATATCTTGTCTGGCTTTATTTACTGGCATCTCATCCTTCAGTAAGAACTTTTAACTACTGAATACTGTTCAAACACAGCTCTCATATAGTGATAATAATCTTACCTGTTGTACATTTTTATTCTACCATTGGAGTGTATTCTCCTTCCATTTTTCAACCATGAAATTTTGGGGGCAGGAATTCCTTCTGCCTGACAGGCGAAACGAGCAGTACCAGCTCGAGGCCTTGTTAAACTTTCCGGCCATTCCACAAATGAAGGAGGAGCTACAGGTAAGTAACAAGTTAAAAAAAAAGAAAAAAGAAAAACACACACAAATATAAGGACAGTTAGACTAATAAATAATTTTACACACACAAGCCTCTCTGCTTAGGCCGCTTGAAGAACACTGTGATAGATCCATGCAAAACCACATATGGTTCACGTAGGCAGAGTGGCTTTTAAAAATACATATTATCTGCACAGAAAGCAACATTTCTACACATATTTGTTCATGCAGCTATGAATACATACAAATAATCATGAATTCCAGCCTGTGACACACTGCTCACAAAGCACACGTGCATATTGCGAATTTATATACTTTGTCACAGGATCGTTTTGCCTGTTGAAAATCTGTCCTCCCAGAGCAAACATTGCAGCTGGCTATCTCTAAGCACAAACAAACTGCTAGTTTATAACTCCCCAATGTTGAGTATCTGACACTTATCATCTCAGTCAACAGACAGAAGGCAGCCATGTTTCTGTGATCCGTTTCATCTCCTTGACCTCTCTACAGCCCTTGGTGTGTTACCCTTGAGATTTTAATAAATAAATAAATAAGAAATTAAAATATCAACCTCGTACAGAACACAGTTTGAGAGAGAAAGAGGTTGTCTGAGCACCCTGTGGAAGTCAAAGCAAGCTCACCCAGCACAGTGAGAGTTGCCATTGCGACCGTGAAGTTCCGCGTGCCTGGAATAGTGGCTCGACAGACGTACACTCCTGCATGCTGCACCTTCACGTCTGAGATCATAAGGTTCCCATTTCCAAGGACACGGGTATTGAAGACGTCAATGGACTTATGATCTATTTGATAAAGTGGGAGAAACATGGTTAGGAGGTTTCTAGATGTATCTAAATAACCTATTTAAATACAGCTGCTTAGATGGCAATGGCACGGATTAGGGTTTAAAAGTCAAAAGATACAAAGGGAAATCATAGACGAGTTTTCAGAGGTTTACATTTTGCATTTGCTTTGCCTTCACTCTACTTCTCTGACATTCAGATGAGTAGGTCCTTCCACGTGATAAGTGGTTTATACCTGAAATTCGCCATGACAGCTACAAAACAATGCCATTTTCCCAGTTAGCCTCCCACAACGGCCTTCCACAAAGACTCAGTTCATCACTACCAATGTCCACATCATCCTTACAAGCAGGGACAATTCATCTCCTTCTGGATTATACTGGGATAAAATGAGTGCATTTGATTACTATATACACCTTCTTTTAATTTCACAGCGAATGCTCTATGGAAGGGTCCTCAGGCTGACTGTTATGCTACTTTTTTCTTACTTGTTTGTCTAGAGGAGTCATTGACTCAACTAGGAAATTCAAATGTATTTTTCCTACTTTCAAAATAAAATGTAGGAAAACATTTGATGGTTTGCTTCTACAGGTTCAGCCTTGACTTTCACATTTAGGTATATGTCAGGAGAATAAAAATTGAGGTAATTTTCACAGAAAAATGCAATGTGCTGATCAATCTCGTTATTCTTACTGCATTTCCTATCTTCCTTCCCCTTCCACTGAGACTGCCAGGGGTCTGACTATGGCTATGGGCTCACTGGCCCATTAATTGGCCAAAAGGCCCATTAATATAGGGTTCAAATCCCAGTCACGCGCTGCTTAGAACAGAGGGAGAAATAGTTACAGGATCGTTTTGCAGGATGCAACCGCTCCAACCTGCCTGAATTCACCATGGAGTCTACCTTGAGCCACCACCCCACCCAGCATCGTGCAGACACCGTGCTGGGGGCAGCGCAGGACCGACAGGAGGAGGCATGTGAATCCAAAGCATCAGAAACCTCAGGGCTTCTGAACATCACCACGGAAGGGTGCTACTAAAAGGGTTTCACTTATCCTTTGCTAACCTACTAATCACTGCGTACTACATGAAGCCTCAGAACAGTAACCTAATTGCTGAAATCCTTTCTTTCCAGTTTTACTTCCTTTCCACAGGCTGAAGGCTGCATGCTATAATTTTAAGACTTACCTAACCGGCTCCATGAGATGATCGGCTTTGGATTCCCTGTGGCAACACACTCCAGTATGACAGTTTGATGAAGAGGCGCTGTAATGTTTTGAGGACCAGCTATTATAGCTGGCTTGTGAAAAGGCTTCAAGTTGGATGCTTTGAAAAAAATCAAAAATTAAACAAAAAAATAATTAAGCATGAAACAAAGTGTGACAATTTTTAAAGGATGCTTAAAATTAAATTTACAGCAAAAATCTTATTTCTTTAATTTTGGTAACTTATATTGAGTAGTATTTTAGCAATAAGATATGAGGAAGCAAAATATCATTTTCAAAGTGCATATGTCACAGAAGAGTTAGAGCTCTTCCCTGCACATACATGTTTTTACTGTATTATAAAGAAGACTATAACATCATGGAAATATCTCATACGCTGGGTACCTGGAATAACACTTAGCACTGCCTCAGTACTTTTACGTCTATTGGCTATCGTTGTAGCAACACATCGATAATTCCCAGCATCCCTCTGTTCAACACCATAGATTTGAAGAACTCCTGTAGGTAGAGCAGTTACCCTGCCATGGAAACAGAAAAGAAATGTAGATAAATGTTCAACCAGTGAACACAATCATGAAAAGAAATACTTGATTTACAAACAGCCATTGCTACACTGACCTGGAACAGCAGGCTGGAGTCTCTCAAAAACATTCTCTACACATGACTCACCTCCCTGCATTTCTCAACTATAAGCGATCTCCCGCTCCTCCATGAGGGGGCAAGAATTTACTTTTAACCAGCAGATCTTTTTCATCCTCAGAAGCAACCATCCCAACCTTCTTCAGCCACCTAATACACTCACATTATTCAGGCCGGTTGATTTCTTGGCAATGACTTCTGATATACTAGCAAAACTGGTACATGGTTCCCCAAAAAATCATATATGTTTTCAATTTTATGCTTTTCTTTTTACCTTCTGTTGCACAGTAGGTATCTTAGACACATGCCACAAAAGTTGCATGTCAAGAAGGAAAGGAGTAAGTTCAATGAATACAGTCTGGACAGGGTGAGAACCTAGCAGGGAACAGGCTGTACACCTCAAGTTAACTGCTTTAAGAGAGAAGTCTTTCTCAGCAAATGTCCCTAGTACTAAGCGCTTCAACTCCATTTTCTGTACATATAATTCTTTATCAGCCCTCTACAGAAATATATGTTCGGCATCAACTCTTCTATATTGCCCCTGTGAAAATATGCCCACTAGTTCAAACTGTCCCCCCAGCTGAAGTCCACCTCTTCTGTATCTCACAGCAATCCCTCCTTCCCGAGAAGGATCTGCATGTAAAATTTTCCATTAACAATCCACAGGTCAACACACTCATTGTGTATACAACTGCAGGTGACTCTGGTCTGTGCTCATAACACCTAATTCAAATTCACTAATGACAACTATTATTAGCTATTCGGAGCATTAGTAGTTGACAAACTGTACACGTAGAACCATTTTAAGTAATGGCATTGCAAGTATTGAGATCATCTTCTCATAGCAGGCTCAAAATTATCACAGAAAATAAATGGCACTCTAAAACGTGCAGGTCTACATACCTGTCCATGACTAAAGGTAAAGTTGTTCGATTCACTTCCCATGTGATGATAGCAGGAGGGTTTGCTGTTATTTTACAGGCAAATCGAGCTACTCCACCTTCTTGGACTTCAGCTGAAAGTGGCTGGACTTCAAATGCAGAAATGGCTAAAAAGGAGAGAATGGAGAATTCAAAGGACTAACGTGAAGAAAAATTTCCTGGCTAAATCAAACCCCAGATCATAGACTGACTTGTAAAATTACCCAGAAACACCCCACATAGTCCTCTCCTCTGCATTTGAAGAGAGAAGTATTGGTCTAACTACCTTGAACACTTCGTCTAGAGCATAGTTCCATTGGTTGAAGTAAAGGTGCATTTAGAATAATTTTGCTGTAGCTTAATTTGGTTTAAAATGTTTCAAGCGAAATTAAAATGACTTGCTCAAATAGAATTAAGCATATAAATTGACTGGCAGGTAGCTAGAAAGCATGCCAATTGTTAAACTGCTGCAATTCATGTCAATACAACTGGTGTGGGGCTGGGTCCTGCTACACTTGATAAATTCGACGGACGTGGAAAATTTGCAAAACAACATTTGGTTCCTGACAGTCACATTGTAATCTTTTAATAACACTCAGTTCAGGAAAAGCATTTGCAGAGTTGTACAATTTTTCTGTGATAGAAAAAAAAAAGAAGAAAAGAAAAAACCCAAACCACAAAACCAAAATACCTCAAAAGAATTTCAAACACATAAGAACGTTCCCCGTCCCCCAACCGTCGCAGCAGAGACCGTGACACCTGACACACCGAGATTCCCAATATAATTTCACACATTTACAGTTCCAGGAATTCACACAGTTGAACCAACTGAAGTGGCAGATCAATAAATACCTTCCAGCCAAGAGACACCTTAAGAAATGGATCAGTAGTTGGATTTCTTTGTTCAGGAAACAAATGTCAAAGGAAAAGGAATAGAAAAGTCTCTAATTAATTTCTTTATTTACTGCTACTCACAGCACAATTAACCCAAGAGCAACTCTTCAGAGGCAACCCACTCTGGGGGCTCGGGACACGAGTAAGCCCACGTATTCCCTCTCCCTCTCCCGGCTGCAACCGAACAAGGATCAATCTCTGCATAAACTCAACAGCCTGATTTGCGTCTGATTTTTGTGTCATTTTAGTGTCTGATTTGTGTTCAAAATCAGGTTGTAAGCAGATTTTCACTTTTGTAAAAATTATACAAAACTGCAATGCCATAGACCGATGTTAGTAAGTTACCCGGCTCTCAACATTCAAACTTTGCGTGTTGAAAGAATTCCTCTATTTTACCTGTTTCTTAATCCAAATGGTTTTGCACGCTACCTACTGCAAGATGGTCTCGATAATGTTCTTCTATGTGAGAATACCATCGTCCACCGTGCTCTTCCCCCCACTGCAAAACTCCTGCTTAGCATCAATAAGTTAATTTCATAGCAACAAGGAAACGCAACATCTCCTGGTTGATCTCCTCTCCATACACTAATACAGCTTCTAACATGGATATGCACGGAAGCAAGCATAAAGATTCCTACTGTTAGCATAGCTATTTCACTCCCTGGGCCAGAATAAATCTTTTTTTTTTTTTTTTGCATTGCATTGCATCAGTGGAGTTGCATGAGTGCTACAGAAAGAGGTGCTCCCCGGCATCCTGCCGGAGCCGCCCCGGCCAAGGGCCGCGCTCGACGCTGGCGCCTCCGTGGCCCCGGTGCACCTCGTGGTCGGTCCCCTGTGCCCCTGCCCTCACAGGCTCAACCCCCCATGGGTAAAATTTAACCCAGCAGCCTCAGTCTCACTGTTAAGTATTTTTTGCATTTTGTATGCAGCGCCAGCCTCACGCACCTCATCCTCATGTCCTAATTCAGCATATCTTAGGAAAACAAACAAACAAACAAACAATAATAAAACAAACAAACAGACCCCCCCACACACACCGCACCCCCATAAAAACGTCACAGCAGCAGTTTTGCGTTTAAAACCTGTTCCAGGGGGGACACAGGAGCACAGGGCAAATCTTCTCCCCAAACACGAATTTTCTTCTGGCTTCTAAAAGACTCACCAGAAGGAAGAGGTACTGGATAGCTCTTCGCCGACACCCAGAAGTTCAGCCTCACGGCGCGGCGGGTAACGGGGAGCCCCGGCACTTTCCCATTTCCACCACGGAGGAGCAAAACCCGAGCGCCCTGGCTTGTCCCGTGCCCTTCCCTGCTCCCGCGCCGATCCGGGTCCCCGCGCGCGGGGCGGGCAACGTGCCTTTCTCGGGAGAGGCGGAATAACGCCTTCCCAGCGACGCAGGCTTCACAGACCGCCGACAGAAAGCGCGGTGCTCCGCATTCGGCATCTCTCTACTGAGAGCGTGGTGTTGGAGCAAACCGGGCAAGTCTGCCTGGCTTTGAGAATAAAAGCTCTAGGAATGTTACAAAGGCACAAATAATGCTGAAGACGACACACATCAGCATGGCGCAAAGAAGTTTCGGAGCCGTCTCGTAGCCCAGGCAGCAGCACAGCCAGCGGCATACGAAAGGACCGTTCGCACCGAGGCCGTAAGGCGCAGCCCGACCACAGCAAAGCTCTTCCCGACTTCTCAAAGTTTGGTCTCCAGAGGAACTACGGAATCACACCCAGAATTTCTTTATATTGATGGGATTATTTAAAGGGCCAGAGGCAGAACGCAGAAACCTCATAGTCAGTTTTCAGGAAAATACAAACAAATAAATAAATAAATAAATGGATTTATTCCCATGCATCCTGTACATTACACTGGAGATTAAAAGACAGAGGTGAGACTCTCAAGAGCCACAAGAGCAGCTGAGGAAAATTTGTGAGTAACAGCAAACAAGATGCTATCATGGAGTAAGCTAGAGCAGATTCAGTTACACTATTTAGAAAATCCAAGGCAAGTTACTAATTGAAGCTGATTTTTAAAAAAGCATTTTTATGTCTGAGCAGGAACAAGATATTTCCTCAGAAATCTAATCTTTCAGATAGCAAAAGTCAGAATTACAGAGAACTGCACAAAATCTTCAGAAAAACCTCATTAATGCCACTAAGTATGGTCTTAGAAACGGGGGAAAAAAACAAAAATAAAAACAAAAAATCTTATCTCCCAATCCATCTCAATTTACACACTGTTTATTAGTTTAGCTGAATACTTGTACCTTCTGTAGCTTGTTTCTTTACGCAAATCTCTGTTTTCTTCTTAATTCTGACTTTATTTGTGCCAGTAAAATCTGTTTTTACAAGTCTATTGCTGCCTTGTGAAACCTGACCTCTTTGTAACAGGCTTGTTTTCATGGCAAGTGCCGATACCAACTCAGAACCCCAAAACCAAGTCATTAAAGCAGTGCTGTTAAGAGGCCAGAGCTCTATAAAACGGATAAGAAACAAAGTCTCAAGAGACGTGTGTTGTTCCCGAAAACAACCCTGCAAAATGCAATAAATGTAAGTGCCTTTTTATTTGAGGTTTCCCCCTCATCTCTAGTCCATTTAATCATTTTGTTCCCAGATTTATAGCCAAAAAAACCAATTAATGTTACTCCAAAAAGCTGATGCTCCCACCATTTTTAACTTGTAAAATACAGAACACTGCTCATAGAGCAAGGAAACCAGAATTATGAACTGTATTCATGTTTACAATTTCCTGTAATTCATGCGATGGCACCATGTGCCCGAGTATGAGAATGTGTGAAGGCAGAAGACACACACCCCCCCCTATCCTGGAGCGCTATCTGCGCACAGAGGATCAGTTGCGGTACGAGCTCCCTCATCTGCCATGGAGGCAGATGTCCTCAGGCTCGGAAAACAGATGATCGCTTGCTGTCACACACTGATTAAACATTAGAGAAACACTGCTGGGATCTACTGTAACATACACTGATTTAAAACTATGCTGCACGCATGCAAGAAAACTTGGTGTTACACAGGTTCACATAGATTTTCGATTAAATAACCAAAGAGGAAAACTTTTAACAAGCTCATCTGTCACACTTGCTTGTTTGCTTAAACACAGCAGTCCTGTACTCTCTTTCCTGTCCCCTAGATTTCCCTCACTCCTGAGGGATGCTAAAACCGCAGGCGAGGGCAGGTCGCGGCCATCTCGCACGCTCTGTGCCATTACGTGATTTTCTGAATGAGCGCTTTCTTAAGAGGCAAAGGAAATTCAACAACCTACATTTTTATTATTGTTAAATTCTGCTAGTTTCATCACACAGGCCAGCTGACACTAGGCAAGCTTGGTCTGCAATTCTATAATAAAGAAATCAAAAGAATGGATGATAAAACCCCTGAACTGGAATTACTCCCTGACTTGAAATAGCAGCACAGAATTAGTTTTCATCTGACCAGACTGCAGCAAACATTGTGAAACTCTCCACCACAGGATACCAACCACTTAAGTATTTCCCAAGAGATAATGGCTACTCCGATAGATGACCTGCTCAGGTGGAAAGAACAGAAGTGCATAATGCCATTTGGAGAACTCCTGTATTAATGCTACGAGCACTACACAATAACCCTAACCCTTCAAATGAAACCAAGAATCTTTTTTTAATTTTCAGGTCAAGAGGTTTCACTTGAGAAAATAAGCTTGTACGTTAAAGAAAAGCTATGGCTACTTCAATGCAATGGATTTCAGTACAGCATGTGATAAATTTAGTATCAAGTTTTCTCCTTTTTGATCTATTTTTCATGCTGGTAGCTCTCAAACAGTGTTTAAACGCACATTAAATACACACGTTCATTAGGCTGTTCCAGCGCTGAAGCCAACTCATACAGGCTTTCTTCGAGTTCAGCGAGATTCCTTGCGTGTTTAAGAGAGCACACGCGCTTTTACAGGACTGAGGCTTAACGCTGGTTATGAAAGGAGCCCTGCCATGCCTGTTGGCTGCATGGGAGCAGATTTCCAAACCACTTGCTGCTCGAATGGCACACCCCGGTCTGGATCTGGGCTGAGAGCGACCCTTAGAGGAGCCCTGCCAGCTCCGGACCGCACACGTCCGGCCCTTCTGCCCGCTCCCGAAGCAGCAGCTGGGGTGCGCAGAGCTGGAGCTGGTGCCAAGCCATCTGATGGGTGGATCTTTATTGAATTACCCAGGAGATGCTGCTGAAAATTAAGTAAACAGCATCTAGGAGC